AGATCGTATCCAATTTCAATCTCACTGAAGTCAGAGTAATTTGCTTGAAGGAAACTTCGGATTATTCAACCGAAGATGAGTTTCATCGCATGTTCAACTCACATCATCAATGTTTCAAAGACAGAAAAAACAAAGTACCTCTCCGTTTAGAGATTTTAATATTAAGTAAAAATGTTATTTTTAATAATTTTGCTAGTCAGTAATACGAAAATCTTTTTCACTGGAATAAACAGATCATTTGATGTCAGACAAAATTCACAAATTGCAAGCCGATATCCATCATGTCAAAGATGCACTTCGAAGCTTTCTCGTTGATAAATTGAATGTGTCGTTTTTAAGAATAAACTGGATCAAGTTGAACTTTTTGGACTCACATATCGTGGCAAAGGCTGAAATTCTTGATTCATTTGTTACCTACTTTGGTGAGTTTCTTAAAATTAATCTACTGATTTATTCAATTAATAAAACGTTGTTGCTTAGAATCAAAGAAAGGAGTTTCACATAAATTCAACATCAAATCAACTGAATCTGGTCAAATTCATACATCAACCATTGATGAATGTTTACGTCTTCAAGCTTTTAAAGCCAATCTGAGGTTAGTCTATTTTGTAAAAATACCTTTCATAATATCATCATTCTCTTTCAGTTATGTTATAACTTGTGGAACTGGTCATTATTTATGCCTTGGAATCGTTAACGGAGATTCATTACCAGATGAAAATGAAAATGGCTTAAACTGTAAGCTGTACAACAATTCAGATCATAGTTTAACTAAACTATTGGCAGAAGTTCCTTTGGAAGTAATTGAAAAATCTTATTCCAATTTGAATGGAAGTCGATTTAACTATTCTGATATCGAATTTGCTGTCGTTGACGTTAAAATTGGAGATGATATACGCTTTGATAGTCCAGAAAAGACGAAATCAAGCTCAACGTTCACATTTTTCTTCATAATTTCCATATTGATCAATATTATGATGTTTGTCAAGTTTGCATCAGACTATAAACTGTCTCAAAACCGAACTAATCCTCTTCGTGATTACGTTTCGCTTAAATTATTAAAATCAAGCATCTGATTCCTAATAAAATTGCAATAAAAAAATCAACGACAGAAATGTTTGCAATGTTTTTACTCAATTATTGTTTTAAAAGCATGTTTTTAACGAATCGCTGTCATTCAATTAACCGTTTTACCATTGCTATAGAAATGCACGACTGTACTATTGTTCCATTACTTCTCTAATCAACTACGTACTATCTTGAAGTGATCATAAAACTCAGTGTAGGCCGATTCTACTTCAATTAAAGTGCCAACAATCTAAACATTTATAAGGTTATGATTTATACTATGTATTTAATGACAATCAATTGGAATTCATCTTCTAACAATTGTTGAAAGTTATGGTTTACAGAAAAGAACCCAGTTTTGTCAGACTGTCTGTCAAAGTTGCTTCATTATCAGTTAGTGATTCCCATGAATCAACAAAAAATATTATTCTTAGTTTATTAAACCATTAAAAATTACAAGAAACAGAACAGTAAAAATTTTTTCCAAGGAGAACAGTTTTGATCGTCAAAAATTTGACTCATCTGAAATACGAATATTACTAATTAGTATTGAAAATCCTTTTTGCCTCAACTCCAAGTGAATAATTGCTAGAATAATTCCTCCCCTTTCCTCCTTTTCACCCGATCTAATTAAAAAATGGCGTGATGACGAGTATGCCAACTGTAGGCGTAAATGAAAAAATTGGTGAATTAGGTGAAAGCCCATGGAAATGAGCTTTACTAAACTTTAACCATTTAAAGTATAAAGTTATAAGTTCGAAGTGCAGTTCTTATTGTGTTTTGTTTCAAAAATTTACCCGGAAAATGTTCATGGACAAATATTTTGTATTGATGTTTATGACTTTATGTTATTTGACCAAAACGTACGGAGGCGATCCAATACATGTGCGCATCATTGATGGTGAGCATTTCGATAAGTTGCTTTATAAACCAAAAATGCATTTATTATATTTCGCTTTCTTAATCAAATAGGGAATCAAAAATTTGATTTGCAACAATCTTTGGAGTCGGAAACTAATTTTTTGTTAAAAGCAAGGTTGGATTATGAGGTAAGTTTTAGTTTATTTATAAGTTTAATTTAATTCTTGGAAAATTATCTGATTTTATGAAGCCGTTCAGAGGATCTTCAAGCAATTTTTACATCGAAGAGTCAATATTTAGTGATGAAAGAAACAGAATTGTTACTACAATAAGCGGCGGATTTGATGAAACGATAGAAATATTCCGTGAATTCGAAACTCAGCGCATTTTGATGCTCTGTTTTCGTAAGTTTTGAAAGAATAGCAAGATTACGAACTAAAAACTGGATTTATTGCAATTTAGCATCGATATACTGTGAACAAAATGGAAATTTGCGGAACTACCAATTTTATGGTGAAGATATGGTGACCAGTATTGTGAAAGACGTGCTAATGATGGGACCTTATCGTATAATATCATATTTTGCCAATGAAACCTTAGCCACAAACAAAATTAGTCGATGGATCGATACTGGTTATGTATCGACTCAATATATGGAAATGACTGCAGTATTTTCAGGTCTGTTTGAAGACTCATGCCAAAAGTACCGAAAGTGTAAAATAATTTATCCTATGAATGATTTATAGATCGATATTTTAGGAAATTGATGGGCTTGAAAAATCCTCTGAAATTGATTATAACTGAAGGATTCTATCGAAATGCAACATTATTTATAACACAGGTTGAGCCTCTTAAAAAGGTAACCATTTCCAAGGCAAATAAAGGTATCCATTACGAATTGACTGAAACCATCGGTTCAAGGAAAAATTTTGTAAGTTCATACAAATTATGCAAATTATTGACAAGTAAACTGGTTGAGTTCAAAATCTATAGACTCCAGTGTCAGTATAATTTTTATGCTTCTTGTCTCAATCCTTTCTTTTTGTTTCATGTGATAAGATATTTAATTTTACCAATTTTTTACTATTGAATCGTCAATAGTTTACCATCACATCACTGGATTCGGTTTCATATGCAAAGATTATTAATGGAAATTTGAGTGATTCTGAATTGATTTTCGACTATAAATTTGGTATAAAATATACTTTGTCTGGCTCAAACGAATGTGCAATTGCATTGCGCCATGCTTCAGATGAATTTATTTTTGCAAATTCTGAATATTATGGAAGAGATTCTTACTTTCCAGAAAATTCGGTGAGTTTTACAATTTTCATTGATGGATCAACAAGTAAAATGACACGATTATTTTTTGTTTGATCAGATTGAATGGTACAACAATACATTTATTGTAAAAGCCGAATTCAATAAACTGGTTGATAATGTCAATTATGATTTCGTTGTAACAACTTACTCGAGGTCTTCACCTAATGTTAGTTTCATTTCATGATAAGAATGATAGAAAAAACAACCCAAAACATGCCTATTTTTTCTTTTTCAGAAGTCGATATTATATCTTAATGAGTGGTTTGAAGGTTTTTCTATCGAACAAAAGCTCTATTCAAAATCTGCATCTAATGAGGTACGATCCAATGAGTGTGAGATTTCGATAATAAAATTTTTCTAATTTAGGACGCATTTAAATGCGTTTACATTGAATCAAGAATGATATCGTTTTCTGATTCTATTGGTGTGGATGGAGATTTAAATGAAATAGTAAATTTTCATGACCGATGTTTCAAAGACGGAAAAAATAAAATTATCCTCGATTTGAAGATTTCATTATTAGGTAAGAATATAATTCCATGCTTCATTTTCAGATAATATCAGAAGAGTATTTTCCATTACAAAACAGATCACTTGACTTCGAGGAAACTAGATAAAGCACTTGCCAATATTCATGAAATTAAGGATGAGTTACGAAAAGTGCTCATGGATAAACTGCGAATATCATTTTCAGAATAAACTTGATCAAGTTCAACTTTTTAAATTCGCACATATGCAAAGTTGAAA